TGCTCCGCGGGTAGTGACGGCAGCCACCAACTACCAGCAGCCCCAGGTGTACCGGGTCAGCTCGCCCTCGACACACACCACCGCGCAAAACTTCAACAGTGGAGCGCAGAACTTCCACAGTGGAGCACAGAATACGCACAGTGCAGCGCGAAACTTCCAGAGTGGAGCTCAGAACTTCCACAGTGGAGCTCAAAACTTCCACAGTGGAGCGCAGAATACGCACAGTGGTGCTCAAAACTTCCAGACTGGTGCGCAAACGCTCAACACCGGTGCGCAAAACTTCAACAGCGGTGCTCAAGGCTTCCGCAGCACTGCCCCGTCATCGCACAGCGGCTCACAGAACTTCCGCAGCAGTGCGCCATCATTCCACAGCAGTGCGCCGTCCACTCGCACCAGTGCGCAAACGTTCCCGAGCAGTGCACAAACCTTCTCGACCAGCGCGCCTCACCTCCAGAGCAGCGCCCCATCCTCTCACAGCAACACGCAGGGTCCCCGGAACACTGCGTCCTCCTTCCAGGCCAGCGCTCCCTCCTCACAGAGCTTCCGCGGCAGCTCACCTTCCTTCCAGAGCAGTGCGCCGTCCTCCCCGTCCAGTCCGTCGGGCAGCGGCAGCAGCGCGAGCAGCAGTGGACCCAAGTTCGTGGGCCGTCAGCGCCTCGCGCCCACCACCTCCGGCCGGCAGTCGTTCGATAGCCGCAAACAGCTGCGGCAGACCGTCCGCGCCGTCATCCAAGGTGGGTATCATGAATCTTTGGAGACCCTCCCATATTTAGGAGATTTGAGAGGTTAGATACCAGTGAAAATATAGGAGTCATCGCCCAAAATATTACATCGCTCCAGTACTTCAGAAATTTCAGAAATGTAAAACAGTTCAAACGTAGAGAACGATTGAGACATTTTACTGAACCTGCATTGACATCTTGTTGTATATCACCTAGCAATTAAATTTTCGCGCCTAAAGGCCCGCTCCACTGGTCCCAGCCTGCGAGATCATACAACGCCAAGTATCGGCAGAATTTGCTAAAACTTCCACTAACACCTGTCTACCCCATCCCCAGGCTCGACCAAGTACTACGTGTCGTGGGCGAGCGGCAGCCACCGCACCTACACGTGGGACGAGGCCGACCACGAGTGCCGGCGGTACGGCCTCCGGCTGGTCTCTCTCACCAGCTTCGAGAAGGAGGCCGAGATCAGCAAGCTGCTCAACAACGCTCCCTTCCGTGAGTATGCGCTAGGTTATATGTAACCTGACACGCATGCATTCCTGAATGACGGTCGTTGATATTTTTGTGTCATCATTGCTGTTTTTGACATTGATATCAATTGATTGCCAGGGCTCTGACCGTGCGATATTTCTGTTTCAGCGGTGGCGTACTACTGGACGTCTGCCACCAAGCAGGGTCCCAACGGCGGCTTCATGTGGGCCGACCGGGACACCACACCCGTGTGCGAGATCGACAGTCCGCGGGACGTGTGCCACGAGAACTGGGGACGCGTGGGTCAGCTGCGCCAGCCGCAGCCCGACAACGCAGAGGGCCACGAGAACTGCCTGGCCGTGCTGAACAGGTTCTACCCGGGAGACGGCATCACCTGGCACGATATCGCCTGCCACCACAAGAAACACTTTGTTTGTGAGCGATACTAATCAGCCGGGTAGAGAGGGTGTTTGGATATTGTAACAGAGCGCCCGGCCGCCAGCCGTTGTTGGGCAGAGCCCATGGAGTCGGTAGAGTCGTTAGGAGTTGACAGTCGTTAGGAGTCGATGGAGCCGTTAGGAGTCGATGGAGTCGTTAGGAGTCGATTGAGTCGAGATATTTCAAACAAAAGACACAGTTGATAGAGTTTACATAGTCGACAGAGCGTCGAGAGCGTCGTCAGCCGGATCTGACCGAAGCTTTAGAGCAGCAGGTGGCCAGTGGACCGTTCGTTCGTCGTGGGGTCGCGGCGGCGGCAGACGCGCGTCGCCGCTGCTGCGTAGCATGTGTGAGACGATGTTTTGTGTTATGTTGTGCCATTTATTGATGTGTGTATAATATAATTATTGTTTTAGTAAATGTTGTTTTGATAAAAAGCCAATGAACATTTATGTTTTATCAGACTACACGCGAGAGAGAAAAACGAACACAGCTGACGATAAGCAGGGTCACGCGCTAAAAATACGTTATCAACAAAGCATTCTTACCATGATTTGTGCCGAAAAAGATTGGCTTCAAAGCTCAAATGCGCGATTCAAATGTGGAATATTATTAAAATACGAAACTGATGTGTATGAAAGTGCTTAAAAACAGCAGCCCTATACAAATAATCATGCCCCTAAAAGTTCCTGGTACATAGTACAGCTCGAAGAACATCATAAGGAACGTTAAGCACGCGTGAAGTAAAAAAGTAACAGGTAGCCTTGATACACTTTAGCCAGATGTGATAATAGGACAAATACAGTTTTACTAAATGCAGCCATTTGCATTTAGGCCATTCGACGGACTAGCTTGCAGCCCGAAATACATCAATTCAGAAGTCGCTACTCACAAATAATCTATGACTGTTATGGTCAGCATAAATTGAAAGGTTATCATGTCATTGGAATAAGTTGCTTAGGAAGCACCTTCAGCCTACCGCCTCGTTGAGCTTTCCATTTAGAATCTCCAATGCATGATTGCATTGTCTTAAAAAGACGCTGTTTGGATGAATCAACGACCCGGTAGTTCTTTTCAAAGGGAGCCAGGTTTAGCGATTTCGAATCGGATATGAATAAGTCATACAAGACTGTTCAGGTCGGCCTGCATTTCAAACCGGCAACTCGGGGTTTTTCTCATCTGTGTTGCCATCGGCGCACACACTATCCTCCAATCTCCCTATTAGTCACTGAATCATCTTATGCCTTGTTGTCCTCAGTATTAAAATCTGAACTGCATTCCTCAATCTAATGGCCATTTTCCTCGACCGGTATATGGCTCATTGTTCTGGACAGCAACGAAAAGGGTACCAGGAACGGGCCGGCGCGGGACCACGCGGTAACTCCCTTATACGGAACAGGGTAAATATCCAATTAAACATTTTATTGGTGATTGATCTAAGACGTCCGCCGGCGGTCGTACTCAGTGTTGTACCGCTTCCCATCCCCGTCGCATGCGACACTCCTCTTGCACGCTTTGAGCGGACCGACACTTTTATGCACGAGGCGCTTTCACTGGTCTATAAAGTAACACAATAGGGAAGATTTCTTGATTGTCACGGACTCACGGTGTTTCTAAGTGAGTCATTATATGTACTGTTTTATTAACCTAACTGGAAGCGAAATAAAATATTCAGGGTAAGGGTATCCATGTCAAAATTAGCTAGCGCGGAGTCAACGGTTCGTACTATCATACATCTCCGCCCGCGGTTAAAAAGTCTTGCTATTTCATCGCTAAGGAGGCCGAGCCTTGAGGAAAAACGTCAACCCGCTTGATAGAAGAAGAGACGAAACAAATTATATAATTTGTAGTACCTTTGGACATACTTATCTATGTCATATTTAGGTCACACAGTTAAATGTTTCTGGTAGCAAAACTGCACTAACAGAGTCGTTCTACCGGTTGTAACTTCGTCATTCATTTACGCACCAGTTTCTATTTGGTATTTTGTCATATGCTGATATGAACAAACAATATTTCAAGCATCTGGAAATATTTTACTTTATAGTTGAATTCATTATCATTTATATCATAATTGTGTTTCCATTATAAACCTAACCTATGTCAAATTTATGCATGGAAAAGTCATAAACGTGAGTGCTGAAAATTGACCTGAGGCCAAACTTAGGTCAACGATAACGGCAGTACAAATTAGCGACGATTTACGAAGAAAATTTTCTTGGAGGGACGTGAGTATTAAAAGCAAATAACGATAACCTTATGTGAAATAATATGCAATATAAATGGCATTACAAAATTATTACGAGCGAGCGAGCGCAGCGAGCGAAGCGAGTCTTTACAATATAACGGAAAAATCTCAGTATGAGCGGCCGGCCCGGCCTGTAACGCTTTTGAGAGGCTTATATCTCAGCAACCACTGGACCGATTGGCCTGCGGTCTTTTTTGCTGGGTAGCCCCATCCCTTCTACCCCGTAATTGACTACTTTTGATGCATCTCAGTGACCGTCGTGGCACGTGCCACGTGAAAAGTCAAGGGTGTTCAAGCTGTTTTGCAAAAGTAGTGATTTTGAGAGGCTCATATCTCAGCAGCCGCTTGGGCGATTGACTTGCGGTAATTTTTATAGGGTAGCTGCATCCTTTCTACCAAAAATAGGATACTCTCGATGCATGTGGGTCACCCCCACTGCACGTGCAAAATACAACAATAAGAGGTGTCAAATTTGTTCCCATTTTAATAACTCGGTAATTACTGGGGCGATTTCGCTGAAACTTGGCATACAGGTAGGCACCCACCAGGCAATGCATTCCCATGTGTTGCGGTTAAGGTGCTACTGCACGTGCGCACGTGCAGGGGGCGCTTCCGGATCTCGAGAACGGCTGGGACGATTGCGCTCAAATTTGGTACACGGTTTCAGACCGGTTAGTAGGGTGCCGTGCAAAAGTCGGCTTGGACCCCGTTTGCACGTGCGCACGTGCAGAATGCCGCTTCCAGATCTCAGGAACGGCTGGGCCGATTGCGTTCAAATTTGGTACACCGCTAGCGACCGGTTAGAAGGGTGCTTTGCGCAAGCCCGTTGGAAGTACCCTCTCGCCCTTCCGCACGTGCAGGGCTCACTATCTCGCTCGCTCGTTCTTCGCCCAAAAGGCGTTTTACTGGTGAAGTAAAAATAACAATATTTTCCTTGTTCGTAAAATGTCCGCTTTGGTCACAGCAGAGACAACCCTTTCTAGCTATCAGAGGTTTAGAATTATGTTGAATCTTACCGTTTACATAACAGTGGCTCAACGGTATACGTAGACTTAGATGCCTGTTTTTACAAAATCATTGTCTTTAGTACGGAGTACCTACCTAATCAACAAGCGAAATATCATTTTATTGTATTTTCACTCATCTACAGAAGACATGACATAATCAAGGGAGACTGAACCGAGCATTTGATTGAGCGAACACGATAAATAACGCTTATCAATGTATAGATGTAACTCCAAAACCACAGATCACAACTTACAACATCGACACGGAAGAAACAAAACCTTCGACACTACTTATACACACACACAGTCGGCCTGAACCGCACAATTATGACTGGCACATGATATTTCTCCGAGCACCTTAGTAATGCTCGCAGACAAAGTGTTTCTTGTGGTGGCAGGCGATGTCGTGCCAGGTGATGCCGTCTCCCGGGTAGAACCTGTTCAGAACGGCCAGGCACTCTTCCCGGCCCTCGCGGTTATCGGGCTGGGGTGTGCCCGCGCCGCCAGTCCGGCCCCAGTTGGTGTACCCGCCCACGGGCCCACCGTGACCCCACACGAACTGGCCACCGGGACCTCGGCGGCCCGACGTCCAGATGAACTCGATCCCTGCCGGGGAGGGTGGGAAGGGTCATTCAACAGGGGGAGAGGCTGGGATGGGATAAATTCAAAACGTGTCTTAGCGCAAACCACGGAGGAAAAGTGCAGTATTCGTCTGTATATGATATATTTATATGCATGAGTAAGACACTTGTTTGTTTTAACGTGAGATAAAAATTAGGTTCTTGAGCATTTCTTTTTAGAAAGGGAGAACATCACGTAAAAATCTGGCTCGTCACGCGATCGCAAACATTAAAATAGTTCACTTACTGTACTTATCAATCTCGGAGGAAATGTAGTAATCCTTGTCGGGATTATCCAGTGAGACAAGTCTCATCCTTCGGGAGTTGCACCGCTGGTATGCCTCTCCCCAGGTGTACATCTGGTTGCCGTCTTGCCATGAGAAGTAAAACTGCCTCGATCCTGCAAATAATCCAACAACCGTAATGTTCTGCTTACTTGGATACAATTGTGAGTGTTTACATTCGGCGAGACTGGTCCGGGGTCACTGGTGCACCATCGAGGAAACATTATCCATTCAGTGGAACACAATTGGACAGTATAATTCGCAACACGAGTAACGGTAATAGCTAATTGTTGTATATGGTGTTGCTCCAATGAATCGGGTGCTGGAACCAATGTGAAAACTGATTATGACATTGCACAATTTATGTCCTTCTCTGAAGATGCACTTTGAAACCTCATACTCAGAATAATGTTTGCTTGTAGCTAGAAGCATTTTATATGATCCCACTTACCAAAACCACCACTGCCGCCTCCGCCGACTCTACCTCCGCCTCTTCGACCTCCGAAACTTCCGTAACCACCTCCTCTTCTGACGCCCCCTCTTCCTCCGTAACCTGAGACTCCTCTTCCTCCTCCAAAACCACCTCCTCCGTAGCCCCTACCTCCGCCTCTTCCTCCTCCGAAACCACTTCCTCGGTAACCACTACCGCCTCCAATGGAACCTCCTCTTCCGCCCCTGTAACCGCCTCCTCCTCTTCCTCCGTAGCCTCCTCCTCCTCCTCCTCCTCCGTAACCTCTTCCTCCTCCTCCTCCTCCATAACCACCACCTCCTCCTCCTCCTCCTCCATAACCGCCTCGCCGAGGCGCTCCGTGCTGACCTCCGGCCGGAGCCAGGCAGAGCAGGGTCAGACCGACCACCGTCGCCTGCAGGGGCGACATCTGTGAGAGGAAATTAGCAGAGAAATGCGTCAGAAAGACTGCTGAATCTGGCAATTATGAAAAAGGCAGATTGGTTAAGTAAGTACCTAAGCAGACACGGCTCAGTGGTGGCAATATCATACATTTTTACGAGAATGTTAAAAATGTAGGTCCTCATTCATCATCAAATAAGTGTTCCATGAAATTGGATGACCAAAATCAGCAAATCCTCGTATAGAATCATCGCGTCATCAATTCCTGTAGTCTATATCATATGGGCTGGGATTTCCGATATTCTTAATTTGTGTGCCGGAACTGTGGGCTATATTGTCCAGGAAAGCTATTGTATTGGATTATTGTTGCAGATGAAAAGGCAGCCGACAGTGGATTTTGATAGTATTGATGAGATCATGTTTGAAGCGCTGCACACCGTGCAAAATAGTAGTTCACCTGGCGTTAAATTTATTGCTCAGCCCATCCAAGATCATTGAAAATCGATTATTGATCATCATCTAAATTTCCGTTCAATCCAAACATCGGGCATACTGAAAGATGACTGACAACAGCTCAGCTGACGAATAAAAAAAAACTTATTTTTGCCAGGTTCGGAATGCAGGAAAGCGCAAAACGTTACATCGCCCGGGGAACTTAATTGACATCATGCATCAGGTTGACACTGGCAGTGACCGCCATTCCGCTGATGGAGGAAACGGTCCGGCGCGGCTTCACTGAAGTCCTTTTTACATCCATCCCACTTTTTACACCCCAATCTGGTCTATGCAGCTAGCGGTTTTGGGCACCGGAAGGTTACGGCCCGATCCATGGGGGCAGCGTCGGAGGCGGTTCCCATGTTTACCTATCGAAATTGTCATCGCTGGCGACACGCACCTTACCACGCGCAAAACGCCGCAGGTGCGTGTGTGAGGGCGATGTTTTGAATTTCGTAACGACGAATTCAATGGGCGGATTCACTAAGGAAAACTATTGTATCCGTATTCATTCGCAGCAGAAAATGCGAAAACATTTTATATTCTGCGCTCCTTATTGAAAGAACGGAGCACCTACACAGCTGTAAGTACACGGTTGACAATTGTGTGGGCAATCTTCCCTCTACGCATAGCAGGTTTAGGTATAGGCTTACCCACTTACTGCTTACAGCGTACATTTTCAACCGCAGTAACGCACTGCTTAGCTTTAAATCGTATACCTACGTTTGATAAACAAATGACTCACACAGACGCACTAACCTAATAGAAACATAGCATGTACTGGAAACCATTTGCAGCACCACACAACACAGAAAGCAGAACAAAATGCTAACCTACCTTGCCGTGTAGAGCGTGCGGTAACTTTGCTGTCCAGACGAGATCAACACTCGAAGCAGGCGTTCGGTGACAACTGGGCATTGATGACCTAGATGAGCCTTATGTACCCCAACCGCTGGGGCTAGTTTTTAGGGGCCTGAATGAGTCACAGAGAATGTTCACACACTTCAGTCCCATCATCTCATGTGTCTCATCGTCTGATTGCATGTCATGATATCGATGAATATCAAAGTCTAACTGAATCTCACAGTCTCCAAACTGAATACCTACCTGCAACAAAAAGGCAGGGAACGTAAGAAGAAGAGGCAGCTTCTGCTTATATGACAAAATGATACAGCCGGCCTTGAACCGGCTTTGCTTACTCAAAACATCGATTGGTAAATCGCAATTGGGCTTGTTCAAAGCATGCAGTAGTGTTGCAATCGAAATGGAGGGTTATTTAACAGAATATAGTTCATTGATGTTCAAAATGGCGGCTTTTGTGATCTTATAAACGTAATCTGGAGGATAATTCGATAGCCACGGCATATTTGTTCGCGCTGAACTGTGATCGATATCCCTTACAAGAGCTCAAAACATCACTGTAGCATATTGTCGGATGCATTGTTCATATGTCAACTCTGAATGCCAAACACTAAACAGCTCTCCATTTCGCAATGCCTTTGCAGTGGCAACCGAATTCCAGGGTGGATCGAATGTTTCATAGTTAATTCTTTCGTTTGATGCCGCTGTAAGCATTTGCAGAAAATAAATGGCCTTATCGGATCGAATCGATATGTAATAACCTACATCGATAGGCATAAATAAAACACAAGTTGCTCGTTAGGATTCGGTTAATCACAGGCGACATGATTTGGTTGCTCACGCAACAGCAAAGATGAAGTCTAGGAAGAAGCCAGCTTTGCGTGTCCCATGCGTGCATCGCTAGACGTCACCCATGCCATAAGAGGATCCAAGGCACCAGCAGACTAGCTGAGACCTGCAGCCTCTTGGGACAAATAACAGACGCCAAGCATGTGAGGCAGATAAAAACCAGCTGGTTGGGGTAGCTCCAAGTGCCAGTAACATGAACTGGTCTGACTGGATCTCATTGAGCTGGCAAAGGGTAATCGACAGCAGTGCCTACGTTGTAGAATGAGATGTGGCAGGAACAAGAACCCGCTGACCTTCTACTGAGCCGCCATTCCAGCCATGATAAACACTTCTCTCGTCATGGTAGGATATCGATACTCGACTAGCCGCTGGTAACAGAAAGCTAACTGTGATGCTCTTAATTCGTATTCACATAATTCAGTTCTAACATTAACAGAGCAAACTCGACGTTTCCTCATTTCCCAGAAGATGCGCACCGGAAAGTCTTACAGATGTGCATCGCTCGAGCACGATATACCGTTATCAAGCAGGTGCTTCACATCGAACCAGCTTCAACGCGTTACACTTCCGCCGGCCGGTGCCTGGCACCTGGACGCTCAGCCGCTCACACTCCTAAAAATCCCAGAGCTCGACTAATTGTCCCCGCTCCCCAGACTGTCTGTGTCGAGTGGCGGCGGCGGCGGGCCTGTCTGCCCGGCCCACTAGCCCAGTCTGTGACAGCAGTGAGCGCCGGCCGACTCCTGGAAAACCCACCGCTCCGCTCTGCCCGTCCCAGCAGACGTCACCAGTCCTTCACTGCAGGCTGGCGGCGATGGCCGCGCCGCGCTCCCGCATCCGTTTTCCTCTGGTCGGCCGCGCTAAAAGTCGTGCCGGATGTCTGTATGGGGGACCGTTGGCCGCCTCACGCGACTCGCACCATGCGTCATGGCCCGGCTGTGACACCGGCGCGGCGGTGACATGGCGATGGACACCTGATGACCCCCGACACAGCAGCACCTGTGACACCGAGGGGGCTCGGCGGCCACCGGCGCGGCACGGCCGTCCAAAGTGCCGACAGGCCGACACAAACGGGAACAATCGGCTTCCGGGCCCGCCGCCGAGACACAAATATGGCGGCGCCATCAATTTTCTGTGACAGGCGATGACTTCAATTGGGCTAATTCAGGAAAATGGAGCGCCGGTTTCGGCACGTCACTTTGATTGGGCAGCGGGCACCACCAGGTAACTTGGCAGGGCGGCTGGATCCTTGAGACGGGCGGTTTACCACATGCTCACCGCTGCTGTTTATCGCAATCGAATGCGGTGCTCTGGTTCCTATTTATTACTGTGCACAGTGCCAAGGTTTTAGACAGTATTGCAACGGTGAATTGTAAATGACTTCGTCTTTATTTATTTTTGATTGTGTGGTTAATGATAAGTTGCTTCTGCTTTAAACTGCGTCAGATCGAATGAGCTCCCCATAATTTTGTCGAAATTGCATATTGTATTTGATCGGAGTCTTGACCATGATAAGTGCTTGACCAGACGATTAGATCTCAGGCAGCTTTTGCCAAGTTGTCAGGGAACTCAGATTTCTTTTTCAATAGAAAAACACAATTCTAAAGAATAGTGTTTTAACTATTGACAACAAACCTTCGGTTATCATGACAAGGGACGCCAGAACGATAGAAAAAGTGTACCGAAGCACCATCTTCCTGGTTATCGTCGTCGTTTGGTGACGGCCAGCCGTCAAGTTCGATGGCTGGGTTAGCTTTTGCTCAGCGTTTTGATTAGAAAAAGGTAAAATATTTAGCAGCCGTCGGACTAGCCTCTCCCTCAGTCGACATAGGAGATACTTCTATGGACAGGGTCTCACCTATCATCATCAGTAAACATATACATTCAGTGATATCCATTGGAGATAAAATCTGCTCCGAGACCGGGCTTCGATCCACACCCAAAGCTCACGCCATAGCCATACGGCACTGATCAGTAGTCAATGATCATCGTGCCTACAATGATACTCGCACTTAAATTACTTAGACGAATCTTACTCAATTACTTACCGGCTTTCAATCCATCACAACGGTCCGAACTCCGAGCGCCAGGGAGGTTAGCCGACCACATTCCTCTGTCCGATTTACCTATGCCTACCGTCTGACCCGGAAAATGATGAGAATGTCAAGAAACGGGACTGAAGAGTCGTGAGAACAAAGAAATGCTGGCAAGATGTATTCACTGTCAACAACGCTCAAATGCTTTGGTGTCTGCATGTAAAAGATCGTTTGCTTTGCCCGCAACTACCGAAATTCAAGTGCTTACCTTTAGGTAAACGACTTGATTTTCTTTGGGATATTTTGTAACAAGCATTCGTCAATTTACCGCCCTGCAATTTGCGAACCATATTCAGGCCATACGCCAGCCTCAGACCGTTTACGACCACGAACATCATTCGGTGCGGTCGTCGTTGTTCTCTCCGGCCCTCCCTAGAGGGGGGGGGGCTTCTGTGAGCCTTGAATGGGTCGTGGACTGGTGTTGAACATTGACGAGCACGAGCTGAGCCAAATACGACCAGCCCCGCAGCCTGGTGGCGAGTTCCAAGACTACAGCTTCGAAGTGGCTCGTAAAGTGTACCGCGGCGCTGAAAGCGCTCTTGGAAGAGTCTTCTGCGTGATGG